CCGTGGCCCGAGCCTTGAGCCCTGAACGAAAAAGTTCTGGTACCTTGTACTCTTTTTAAGGAATGAGAAGATGATTGGTCACATCACTTTGTACCTCTATTTATAGTACAAGGTTGATGGTGCATCCTAGGTTTTATTAACTGTAATTGCCAAATCTGACCCATGTTTAACTAGACCGCAATCATTGTTTGAGTTGGGCTTCCACTATTTACGGGCTGCAGTTCGTAGGGGCCACATAATCAGTTGGACTGCAGGTCCAGGCCCAACAAGTTGGTTATTGTGTGAATATTCATAGCTTTTACTATTTCTTGATTATGCAAATGCTTGCTGGATTGTTTCAATCCTCTGGTTGGTCTTCGGTTGTTGTTGTGGTTGGAAACTGGTTTAACAAGAAGTAGAGAGGATTGATCATGGGAATATGGAACGCACACACTTCGGTTGGGAACATCACATGTTCGTTAATCTCTACGGCGAAGTTGAGATATAGTTGGGGATTGCCTTTTTTGGTTCTTGGTATGGTTGTTATGGTGATCAGATTGGTGAATTTTGGTTTCTTACCCGTGAATATGGAGATTGTTAAAGCAGAGAGAGACGAGCATGTTGATTCTTCTGAGAAAATCAGAGACTCTGTAAATGTTCCATTACTCTTGGTTTATTGAAAAAGATTAAAAGGAGAGCTTCTTAGAGAAGAAACTTCTACTTCGGTGAATTTTTCACCGATAAGTGTGATTTTTTATTTCAAAAAGAAACAAATGTTCCATCGTTTTAGAAAAGTATGATTTTGTTCCTGTTTGTTTAAATGGTGCTCTTATCATTCGTTTTTTCGGAGATCCATGGAGTCGTGAATATGTTTCGTATTCAATCAGTTTTGCTTATTTTTATTGAATCAACAATTTGTTTTTTGGGTTTGAGTTTTAGTATGATCTTCTGCTTTCTATAGTGTTCCATCACCATTGTTTGAAGATTTTACCACGCACATGAGGAATTTACTTGTGGATTAAGCTACTACGACAAGATTAAACAAACTTCGCTATTTGGATATTCGTTGGGAGAAAGAGGCATTGGTGAAGGTGGTTCATAATTTTTTCTTGCTATATATGATGTTATTTACTGTATCTAAGGGAATATTAATATTGTGCATACCAATTTCATGCACTCACTTCTCCACTTTTATGATCTTGCAAAAACAAGGACATGCTTCTATATGAATAGTGGTGTAAGTTCATGCTTTTACCTTTTTAGTCCCATACATCACATACAATGTCTGGATCATCCTCTGAAATATGCTTTCACGAATATCATTCTCTAAAATATGCTATGTTTTCGAAACATAATATATTTGGATCATCTTCTGTGTCGTGTGTTATTGCATGGATTGGTTTTGGCAGAGTTTAATACTATAGCCATTGAGTACAGTACGAGACCAAATAAAGATGACTACATCTGTGCAATACAAATTCATCATCGCTTATAAAACCACTGGCAAATGATGGAACCAAAATGTACGAGATAAATCCCTTCAATATGTAGCCAAGTTTAATTTCATATATTGTGTGATTAAAACAAAATATGAAACTATGGTCCAGTCACGATGCAGCTCGAGTCATCCCAATCCTAAGTGAGCATATATGGTTTGCATAAACTCATCAGCAGGTCTTGATTTATTAAGGAATGAGACAAATGAATCACCAGAATCATATGATGGCTCATTTTGTATCAGCAAAACTGTAGTATATTCATGTGAAATATTCATAGTTCATTGGCTCAGACAATGTTACAATTCCTAAGGAAAATGTTATAAATGAGATCATAATTTATTAATCCTCATGTTACATGTACAAGCATTAAACTAGCTTAAATATTATAAATACGACCATAATATAAATAAGATTATAATTTATTAATCCTCATGAAAATATTCTTAATTTTAACTTGCATGTATTGGATTAGACCCTTTCAATTCGAATGCGGATAGTGGAAATGTATGCAATTTCCGACATAATTTGCAACTATCATCACCATTATCATTTTATTAAGAGGAATTCCCTAAAATACCACATTTTTCCAAAAAATAGTATCAAAAGTTTTATATTCCAAAAAAAACATCAAAAGTTTTGGTTTTTCAAAAGTACCACAAACGCATCGAATGCGGATAGTGGAAATGTATGCAATTTCCGACATAATTTGTAACTATCATCACCATTATCATTTTATTAAGAGGAATTCCCTAAAATACCACATTTTTCCAAAAAATAGTATCAAAAGTTTTATATTCCAAAAAAACCATCAAAAGTTTTGGTTTTTCAAAAGTACCACAAACGCAAAAATGATT